AACCCAGTCAGCACCCTCAAGCTGAGCATCTGTCACTTTTGGAAGCTTTACACCTTTTAATTCTTTGTTAGCCGTTTTGTGGTGTGAAATGATTTTAGGAGGGTTTGGGTGGGAAAGCCTGTAGGAAGAAAGGGAGCTCTAAATGGGTTTTATTTTGTATTCTATATCTAATAAATTTCATATTACCTACACACACACACACACACACACACACACACACACACACACGAAGGCCAACAATGCTTGGTTCCAGTAATGGGCACCTGCAACACATTCTTATCTCTCACCACACATGGTGACCAGGCACAGTAGATAATAAGAGCATTCATGGAAGCCACTGGTACTCAGAAAAGGCTAGCAATAATTTAACTATAAAACAGAAATGACTACAAACCATTTAATCCAAATGCATCCCTAACTCATACCCCCTTCCAAAAAGGCCTGTGCTATACCACCCAACACAAGAGGAAATTAGAGTGCAAACTTAAAAAAATAAAATAAATCTTGCTGGTATATTCATATGGATCCCATTAATTGTATAGTTTAAGTTAAAAAAAAAAAACCCTGACATTTTCATTATAAAATATACCATTCTCTATGTACACCATTCTCCAAAATGAACTTTGGATGGATGGTAGGCATAATGTGAAAAATCTCTCTATATAAAAGCCCAGTGACCATTACAGTGGGAAGACAGGAACGACCAGAACAACCAGTCACTGTGACGTGTACTGACCACCAGGGGGCAGATGCTCAATGAAGGAGCTGCCCCCTGGTGGTCAGGGCACTCCCACAGCGGGAACACCGCTCAGCCAGAAGCCAGGCTCACAGCTGGTGAGCACAGCGGCAGTGGTGGGAGCCTCTCCTGCCTCCGCAGCAGCGCTACAGAGTGGCGAGCCAAGTGGTAAGGAGCGAGCAGGTGGGCGGTTAGGAACGAGGGGTCCGGATTGTGAGAGGGCCCAGGCCAGGCTGAGGGGACCCCCACCGCCGTGCATGAATTTCGTGCATTGGGCCCCTAGTATAACTATAGAAACTCATGGAAGAGTGAAGGTACTATATGCACAAGAATAGCCATAGCAATTCTGAAAAAGAATTTTAGTCAGTTTTCAAGTTTCAGTAAAATTTGAAATTTTTGACATGAATTTTATTGAATTTATAGATTAATTAAGGATGAATTAAATTGTGGAGACATCTAGCATCTTACTTTTTTGAAATCATCTAGCAATATTATAGACTTAAAGTAGTGGGATTGTCGATATTATAGCTAAAAAAAACCAGCAAAGTACTTTTAGCTGTTTTGTTAAAGCCCACATTTATTCCGGGTTTTAGATTCCCAGATATTACTCTCATTCAGTCGCTCAATAAATGTCTGGTCCTATAATGTCCTTTACAGGTGTGAGCATGGATGCTATTTGCTGCTCATAGGTTATCTCTAGTGTGTCTAGAAACACCTTCTTTTTCTCCTATTTGTCTTGACTTAAACCTATCATAAGTATTTAAGGCTGGTTGAAAATCAGGCTCTGAATAAGCAAGGTTTTTACTATAACTTCAAGGAATTCAGAATAAAGTTCCTCCTGCCCAGCTAGTGTGGCACAGTGGATTGAGAGCAGTCCTGTGGATCAAGAGGTCCTGGGTTCGATTCCCAGTCAGGGCACATGCTTGGGTTGTGAGCTTGATCCCCAGTAGAGGGTGTGTAGGAGGCAGCCGGTCAATGATTCTCTCTCATCATTGATGTTTCTGTCTCTCTCTCCCTCTGTTCCTCTCTGAAATCAATAAAAATATATTTAAAAAAGAATAAAGTTCCTTTTATTCTGTCAATTTAAAAATGAGCTGTGCCACTTTATTCAATACTAGAGGCCTGGTGCACAAAATTCGTGCACTTGGAGGGGGGCGTCCCTCAGCCAGGCCTGTGTCCTCTCACAGTCCGGGAGCCCTCAGGAGATGTCCGACTGATGGCTGAGGCCTGCTTTCTACGGAGAGCGGGCCTAAGCCGGCAGTCGGACATCCTTAGTACTGCTGTGGAGGTAGGAGAGGCTCCTACCACTGCCGCTGCGCTAGCCAGCTGTGAGCCTGGCTTCTGGCTGAGCGGTGCTCCCTTGGGGGAGCGCACTGACCACTAGGGGGCAGCTCCTGCGTTGAGTGTCTGCCCCCTGGTGGTCAGTGTGAGTCATAGCGACCGGTCGTTTTGCTGTTTGGTCATTTGCATATTAGCCCTTTATTATATAGGATTCTAGTAGAATATGATTTGGAAATATATCAACTTTTGAATAGCAAAAATTCAGTTAGTAAAATTTAATAAAAAAATAGTTGACATTTCTATAATTATTAGCAAAGATTTCTAGCCCAGCCAGTATGGCTCAGTGGTTGAGAGTCGACCTATGAACCAGGAGGTCACAGTTTGATTCCTGGTTGTGGCACATGCCTGGGTTGCAGGCTGGATACCTAGTGTGGGGAATGCGGAAGGCAGCCAATCAACGATTCTCTCTCATCATTGATGTTTCTATCTCTCCCTCTCTCTTCATTCTTGAAATCAATAAAATATTAAAAAATATATTTCTATAGTACTACTTAGGTGCAAGAGACTGTTCTATGTGCTTTATAAACATTAAATAATTGAATTATCATAATTCAGAAGATATTTTTAGATATTAAAATATACCATGGCCTTTAGGATAAATACCTGTCTTTGGAGAAGTAGGACAAGAAGAATTTTAGATATCAAGAGTTTAGAAGATACAGAGTTTAGTATAAATATAAAGTAGCTCATTCTGAGGATTGATTTACTATTCTCTTCTCTCCAAATTCATAAAAACATACCAAAACTAGCAAGTTATGAAATCCTGCTTGGTTTACTAGCTAAAACCTTACACTTTCTTTCAGTTTGTTCATAAATATTATTCTAGAGCCATTACTAAATTTATCACATTCAAAAAACATCCACAAAAAAGCCAAGTAAATCTTTAGTGGAAATCAAAATGATTTATAAATAGAAGGATTATACATAATAAAACATAGTTTAAAGATAGGTTGTAATAGCACTATAACAAAAACAGTTGATTTATAAATTTGTTTCATATTAAGATCTTTGGAATTAGACATACTTTCACATTATAGGAAAGATTTGTTCAACCTTATGTTTATTAAAATTCCTCTATGGGTCAAGTTTATAAAGCTGATGTGTATTTACAAGTATAACAATTTGAGTCACTGTAAAAGATTTTGACATTCTAAAGAATTAAAGGTAGGTTAATTATATGAAGACTTGCCCCCAATTTTTAGTTTGATGTATTGCTAAACCACAAATAAAACTGCAAGTGTACATTTAATAATTAAAAGATCCATTCAGCTTATTTTCAGAGTTTATTGGTATGTGAAAGATAATGGAAACTTTTTGTACTATCTTTTTTTTTTTTAAATTGTTTAAAGTATTACATATGTCTCCTTTTTCCCTGATTGGCCCCCCACCCCCGGCCATTCCCACCCTGTACTATCTTAGCAACTTTTTGTCTGAAGTTATTTCCAAATAAAAAGCTTTATGAAAAGGTTAAGCACTGTTTACATATAGTCAAACCATTGACAATTCTGTGTTCAGTGATTACCTAACATTCATTAGTGATTTTCTTTTTAGCTAGGCCAGTGGTTGGCAAACCGCGGCTCACGAGCCACATGCGGCTCTTTGGCCCCTTGAGTGTGGCTCTTCCACAAAATACCACATGCGGGCGCACACGTACAGTGCGATTCAAACTTCATGGCCCATGCGCAGAAGTCGGTTTTTGGCCTGGGCAAGTCTATTTTGAAGAAGTGGCGTTAGAAGAAGTGGGGGTACGTTCGCTGAGGTTGACCCCTCAGATTGAGGATGTTTTTATCAAAGGCTAGCTTAGGAGTACCCTAATTAAGTTAATAACAATGTACCTACCTATATAGTTTAAGTTTAAAAAATTTGGCTCTCAAAAGAAATTTCAATCGTTGTACTGTTGATATTTGGCTCTGTTGACTAATGAGTTTGCTGACCACTGAGCAAAGCTACTAAATATCCTTCACTAGTGATAAATGAAAGATTCTCTCTTCTCCTCCCTCCTACACATGAATCAGAACATAAAGATTAAAAAAAAAAATGCCCAGCTGGCGTGGCTCAGTGGTTAAGCATCTACCTATGAACCAGGAGGTCACAGTTTGATTCTGGTCAGGGCATGTTCCTGGGTGGTGGACTCGATCCACAATAGGGGGGTGTAGGAGGCAGCCGATCAATGATTCTCTCTCATCACTGATGTTTCTATCTCTCTCTCCCTCTCTCTTCCTCTCTGAAATGAATAAAAATATTTAAAAAATAAAATAAAGAAACAATTTTAAAAAAGATTTTAAAAAAATGAATTGGGGGGTGTACAATGGTACAGCTACTTTGGAGTTAACTTTGGCAGCTTCTCTTACAGTAAAACATTCATCTACTCTATCATTAGCAAGTCCGCTCCTAGGTATTTATCCAAGAGAAATAAAAACATATGCCCACAAAAAGAAGTGTATAAAAAATGTTCATAGCAGCTTTATTCATGATAGCTCCAAACTTGAAACAACCTAAATGGCCATCAACAGGTGAGTGAATACACAAACTGTGGTATATTCATACTCAGCAATAGTAAGGAATGAACTACTGATAACAAAACAAATGGATGAAACATAAAAGGCTGAGTGAAAGGCTAGACACAAAAGAGTACATACTGCCGGATTCCATTTAGTCCAGGTTCTTGAGGAATAGTGATTGAGATGGACAAAAAGGTATTAGGAAACTCTCTAGGGTGACTGAATTACTCTCTAGGGTGACTGAATTACTCTGTGTCTTGTTTTAACATATGAAAAAGTTATACATTACAAAATAATGTTTACATGTATATTATATTTCAATTGAAATGAAAATCATACTTTATTAAAAATGTACTTTCTAAGAGAAAAATAGCAAGAACAAAATTGAAGAGTTTTAATATTTCTATTTTCAGGATGCTTACCTGTCTAAGAGCTGATTATGTTTTTCTAAAGCATCCTTTTCAGCCATCACTGCTCGGTCCTTTTCAGCCAAAGCATTATCCCTTGCTTCTCGGAGATTTCTAAAATTTAAACATACATTCAGTTATTCTAAATACCTAAGTATCCATCTTTTAAAGATTCATAAATGAGCTTCTGTGGAGCTGGACAATCTGACAATCTTAAGGAGCCCCTAAAGGATGGCAAACCAAACTGTATATTATCTAAATTTTCCTGGTCTGGTTTATTTCCTGGTCTGGCAGCAGCAGTGTAGATGCAAACATGGTCTATCTTTAAATGTCATGTTATCTTTCTTCACAACTTTTCTCCACATGGGTTGAAGGTAGATTAGACAGTAACTTATTTAATACCATAATGTAATGAGGCAGGTATAATTACTTACATGAGACAACTGAGGTTTTGAGATTTTAATAAATATTCTATAAAATATTTTAAGTAAAAGACATAATATAGAGGTCACAGAATCAAAATGGAAATGAAGTTTGGGATATGAGCAAGAGAACAACTGAAGTGATGATAGACCTTGGGATCTCATGGAACATAGGAGAGCTGATAGATTAGGCGAAAGCAGAAGGGACAAAGGACATGAAATACTGATGAGGTGACAAACAGATTAAAGTGAAAGTAGTTGTACAAGCAAGATGGAAGACTAGAGATTGTTGTTGGAGAATGGTGATTTGGAGATAGAATAGTACTTCCAGTGACAGAATTTTAGCTGTGACCACTGGAGTAGCTAAATGAAGTGGAGCTGAGATGAAGGTCAATATTCATGTAGGGCTCAAGGATGTCTGAGGTCAGAGCATCAATTTTCAACCAGTGTGCTGTAAGAATTTTTAAACATGTAATACCTAACTATCCAGTCAGGGGCACTGCCCTCTTTTCCCTTAGATAGTCAAATAAAAAATGACAACAGCCACCTGGCTGGTGTGGCTCACTGATTGAGGATTGACCTATGAACCAGGAGGTCATGGTCCGATTGCTGGTTAAGACACATGCCCAGGTTGCGTGGGGGGCATGCATGAGGCAGCCGATCGATGATTCTCTCTCATCATGGATGCTTCTATTTCTCTCTCCCTCTCCCTTCCTCTCTGAAATCAATAAAAACATATATTTTTAAAAAAGGAAACAGCCAACACAACAATAGCTGTCTGGTGTGAATGAATCAAAATTATACCTTTTTTTTTTTGTCAGATTGGCAAAAAAAAATGTATTTTTTTGGATGCCACAGAATTTTAGTAATTAGTTTATGTGCACCATGAGATGGAAAAAATTGAAAACCACTGGGCCAGAATATTAGATAAAACATCCACTGGTGTGCTCGCTTCAGAAGCACATATACTAAAACATCCACTGGCAGTACTGATGATAGTACTGTAATTGATATTGAAGTTGATAGAAAGATACATTTAGTGATAATTATGGGAAATGTCCAAAAGTAGAAGGTTACGCCCTAACTGGTTTGGCTCAGTGGATAGAGCATCGGCCTGCTGACTGAACGGTCCCAGGTTCAATTCCGGTCAAGGGCATGTACCTTGGTTGCGGGCACATCCCCAGGAGGGGGTGTGCAGGAGGCAGCTGATTGATGTTTCTCTCTCATCGATGTTTCTAACTCCCTATCCCTCTCCCTTCCTCTCTGTAAAAAAATCAATAAAATATATTTAAAAAAACCCAAAAAACAAAAGTAGAAGGTTACAACAGTGAGTAATTAGGAGATGATACAGTCAGACATGAGCCTTTAAACATCTAATCTTGTTTTTATTTTTTATTACAGAATTTTGGATCAAAAATAAAAATACCAACAGTAAGCTTCTTTCAGAGTCAATTTTTAAAAAAATCCTGAAATAAAGATAGAGAGTAACATAAATGATTTTGTTCACTTAATCCTTAAAAATCCCTTATATTGTGTTTTCTAACCTATTTTATAGCTGAGTAACCTGAAATTTAGAGAGTTAAAGCACCTAGCCCCATCACATGGTCCAAGTGTTAAAGCCATAATTTGAGCCTGGCTATGTCTTGCCATAAAGTGAGTATTTTTTTTACATCCTATCACCCTATCTCCCACAAAGAACTGGCTGGATATTAAAATTTGGTTTTTATTATTCATAGAGAATGTCAGTAGGGAGTCATGAAAACCCACACAATTTGAATAAATCTAATAACGGTTAGAAATTCGTAGTGGTCATATGTGCTGTGCCAGTACTCAATGTCATCTTTTGCATGGTACAAAACATTCAATGAATTTAAAATTTAAAACATGTCAAACAATAGAGATTCATTAAACAAACAGTTTATGAGCCAGAAATAAAATAATTTAAAAGGAACTGGAGTACAGATAACTCTCATTAAAAAGAAAATAAGTATTTAAAGTAGTTATCATAAAATGGCATGTCATTTGCTGATACCATCCTGATCGCAATGACCTTCAAAACATATTCTATTATCTAACTGAAACACGAAAATGTACTTTTATAGACAGAATAAAATTCTCAAAGTATATTAGACATTTATATATTTTTCATTCCTAGATGATCTATACATTTTAGTCAGTAAATCATCATAGATTGTAATTTTCATTTTTCAAATAGTCTCATTATTCTATAAGTTATTTCAGTAGCAAAATTCCAAGTAGATCACATTTACAGTACTGATTACTCATGAATGCTTAGCTGGTAGGTACAGGAGCTTCAGTCCCTAGCTATATTACCTTTCCTGTAATAATGGGCATTAAAAATAAAAGCAAGCCACAGGGAACGAAATAAAACCCAGACTAAACTAACAGTAGGGCTTACGAGAGGAGATACAGAGGGTCCTAGAGTCCTTGCCATACCACAATCTGTATCATCCAGCCAACTAGAATTTGTGCTATATGAAGGTGCAAATAACATCCTATGGCCAAAAAAAGAGGAGGACATGATTATTTTTCATTGGAGGAAGAGAGGTGAGTGAATTAAGGGAAGACATGTAAGTTGGAAATAGAAGGACAAATAAGTAAAGACAACTCAAAAAAAGAAAACTGAAATGAATGAAAGTGCTAAAAGCTGAAGCTTCTACCACTAAGTCCCCCTTAAATGCTTGCGGGTAAGATCTCTGTGTAAACCCATTCTCCTACTAATCAGGCTCTGCACCTTCAATAGCCCTGCCCACAACCTGCATATACCAATAAGAAGTGACATAATTCCTTTTAACATATAGAGCTCAGGCTGTATAAGGCCCATGAAATCATTTGGTCTGGCCCTGCAAAAGCATTAGGGGTGAGTTAATTAAATGTTTGGCCAAACATAGCAGGCTAATTTTTTTTAATATATATTTTTTATTGATTTCAGAGAGGAAGGGGGAGGCAGAGAGATAGAAACATCAATGATGAGAATCTGGCTCATGGATTGGCTGCCTCCTGCACACCCCCCACTGGAGATCGAGCCACAACTCAGGTATGTGCCCTGACTGGGAATCAAACCGAGACCTCCTGGTTCATATGTTGATGTTCAAACACTGAACCACAACAACCGGGAAAACAGGTTAATTTTTAAGTTGATAATTTTGTATGATCCTAGAATGATGTTATAAATAAACAAATGGCCCTTGGTAGAAAAAAAGGTTCCCCACCTCTGATACAGAGATACTTCCTTTAATATTATCAATTGACTTTAATGTTTCAAATCATGTCTGAGAGAGGTAAGCTGAACTACTTTTCTACTGACAATAATCCTATATAATAAAGAGGTAATATGCAAACTGACCATCACTCCAACACACAAGATGGCTGCCACAAGACGGCTGGCAGGGGAGGGCAGCTGGGAGGGACCAGGCCTGCAAGGGAGGGAAGTTGGGGGGGACCAGGCCTGCAAGGGAGGGCAGTTGGGGGCAACCAGGCCTGCAGGGGAGGGCAGTTAGGGGTGACCAGGCCAGGAGGGGAGGACAGTTAGAGGGTGAACCGCCTGGCAGGCAGAAGTGGTCAGGGGTAATCAGGCAGGCAAGCGGTTGGGAGCCAGGAGTCCTGGATTGTGAGAGGGATGTCCGACTGCCCGTTTAGGCCTGATCCCACCAGGATCGGGTCTAATCGGGCAGTCGGAAATCCCTTGAGGGGTCCCAGATTGGAGAGGGTGCAGGCTGGGCTGAGTGAAACCCTCCCCCCAATGCACGAATTTTGTGCACCGGGTCTCTAGTAGTAATAATAAACATACAGTGCTTACCATGTTCTAGGAGCTATTCTAGGTACTTTACATATAATAACTCTTTGTAATAATACACGGAGTGGCTAGATTATTATGATCGGCCAGATTATTATGACCACATCAGTACAATGAAGTGAATTAGTTATGCAAATAATAATAATACTAAAACCTTGAGAGTATTTGCTTAGGAATTTTTCAATATTCAGTATTTTGGAAGTGTCAATGAAGTACTGATGGGGTGGTCATAATAATCTGGCCACTCAGTGTATACTATATGTTATGATAATGTTATAATTTAAACTTCACAACAACCCCACAAAGTGTAGGTTTTGTCATTACCTCCATTTTACAAAGGAAAAGACAAATACAGAGCAGTTAAGTACGTATTTGCCTCTGGTCCACACAGAAGTAAGCTATGGAACCCTAATGTGAACCCAAACTGGTTCTAGAGTTATGCTCTTCATCATACTAACATCATACTAACATTTCCTTTGTTTCACAGAAGTTTTCTCCTTGGGAAATTCTGTCATTATGAGATTTATATGCTACAGTCATCTCATAGCACAGATAGATGTTAAATGATGGACTGTATTCTGGCCATAGATAAAACCGTAACTGCTATATAACTAATAAATTATCTATTTTTAAATGTAAAATGAATTAGAAAATATAACAAAATACAGTTAAAGAATATCAAGAACTCAAATGAAAAGTTGATAGAAACTATCTGTGTCATGTATGAGCTATAGAAACTAATGTTTGAAAGGTCCAAACTAAACATATATATTATATGTAATCAAAATAATTATATAATCAATATATATAATCTATGTATGTAATCAAATGTATATATACATATATAATTAAGTATAATTATAATAATGAAGAAA